TGCTGCTGCTGCTGCTGCTGCTGCTGCAGGCGCCGGCGGCGGCGGCGCGGCGACGCAGGCTGCTAGGCTCCACTAATCCCGCAGATCTGCACGGTAACAGCAGCAGCAGCAGCAACAACGCATATTGCTGCTGCTGCTGCTGCTAGATTGTTTTAATTATTATTAACTATTAATTATTACTAATTATTATTATTTGTTTATTACTTATTGTTACTAATTATTATTAATCATTATTACCCTGCGTTTCTCTTTCTTTGGCTGGAAACGAGGGACTGCTGCGTGGCGTCGGAGAAGAAGGAAAAAGCAGACAGCTGCTGCTGCTGCTGCCGGGCTGCTGCTGCTGCTGCTGCTGCTTCGGCTGCAGTGACCTGCTGCAGCAAATGGGCCACTGCAGCTCTGCCTTCTCCCCTATCCCTTGTTTCCCTTTCGTACAGGGTCTCTAATTCTGCTGCTGCTGCTGCTGCAGACGACGGGAGGGGCTGCAGCAAGTCCCTGCCGTGCTGCTGCAGCTGCTGCAGCTGCTGCAACTGCTGCAGCTGCTGCAGCAGCTGCTGCTGCCTGCCCCCCACTGCATGCGCTCGCTCTACATCTGCCATCAGGGGATATCTTCGTGTCTCCTGGTTTTTTCAGCTTCTGGCTTTCTTTTGTCTCCTTTTAAAACCCTCCCATTTGCTGCTGCAGGGCCTCCCCTCCGCAGCAGCAGCAGCAGCAGTCTGCGGCTCCTCAAAGCAGCAGCGCCAATTCCGCCCAATACCCCGCCGCTGCTGCTGCTGCTGCTGCTGCTGGTGCCGCGTGCGAGGCCAGCGGAAAGCAGCAGCTGCGCAACGGGTCCAGAAACTGCAGCAACGGGAGGCGCTCCTGCAGCAGCAGCAGCAGCAACAGCTGCAGCAGGAGGGGCTACGCTGTCCGTGTCTTAAAAAACAAGCAGCTATTTGCTGCGCATATCTTATAAAACTGCGTTCGAGGCCTCGGAGACAAGAGGCGGCCAGAGGCGAAGCGGCGGCAGAGCCGCAGAGCTGCAGCAGCAGCAGCTGCTGCTGCTGCTGCAGCAAACACCAAAGACCCCTAACCCAGAGCAGCGCAGCACGCAAGGGCCCCCGCTGCGTCTCGGGGCTGAGGGTGCATGCCTAGACTCAGGTGTCCCGACTGTGGGCTGGTTGGGGGGCTGCAGAGCAGGAGTTGCTGCAGAACTGCTGCTGCTCTGCTGCTGCTGCTGCTGCTGCTGCTGCTGCTCTGCTGCTGCTGCCGCTGCTGCGCTGCCGCGAGGCGCTCCTTTGAGCCCACGCCCGCTCCGCCGCTCAGTGCAAATAGGTTTAAAAGAAAAGGAAAAGTTTGCGTTGAAAATTAAGATAAATAACCCAAGGAAACGGCAGAGGCTCCCGTGCGCGACGCTGGTGGAGCTGCAGCAGACCGCAGCAGCACAGCAGGTGTCACTGGCCGCCAGGCGGCTTTTAAGAAAAAACAGTGTTTATTCGAAAGAAATAAAAACTCCCAAATTCAGAAATTCGCAAAAAAACAAATGATGCTGGGCCCTGCAGCGTCTGCAGGTTGAGGACAAGCTCTGTGCCCACGGTGAGAGAGGCAGCAGCAGCAGCAGCAGCAGCACCAGCAGCAGCGGCAGCAGCAGCAGCGGCAGCAGCGGCGGCGCAACAAAGATGCCCATCAATGCCGCACTTTGCCTGCACACAAATTCACAGTACCCAACCAACTCGCAACTGCTGTTGCTGCAGCAAACGAGTTGCTGCTGCTGCTGCGCTGCTGCAGCAACAGGGAGCAGCAGTGCGTCTATGGTGTTCAGCAGAAACCTCACTATACCCCTCAAGGTCTAGTGCGAACTCAGTTGTTTCCGCGCCGTTTTGGGCTCTAAAACCCCCGAAAAAAACCCTTTTTGCATTTTAAAACACAAAACAACAAAGCAGAAACCCAGAAATTCAAAAAAGAAACAGAAACAACGCAAATTGAATGCAGATAACCTCTGCTGGCGCGCCCGTCACGATCCGCCGTCGATACTTCCTTGATCACGGCTGGGCTGTGCATCTCGTAGGCGCAACCACTTGATGTTTTAAAAGGTTTTTCGTTTTTATTTATCTTTTATTGTTCATTATTGCTGCTTTTACCCCCTAGATCATCAGCAAAGACGCGCAGTTTCCCGCTGCACACCGGCGCAACTTGGCTGCTGCTGCTGCGACGGCGCTGCCTGCAGCGCCTCTGCTGCTGCAGCACTTAGCGACGCAGTAGCAGCCACCTGCATGCGTTCTTAGCTGGTGTTGCGCAGCAGGAACCCAAGAGAACCACCGCGGCGCTTGCTGCCACCAGCTGCAGCAGCTGCTGCTCCGCCTGCGGGAGCTGCTGCAGCAGCCGCTGCAGCAGCCCTCAACTCCCCAAGCACCTCAGCCAGCAACAGGGCCCCAGAGGTCCTTAACTTCAGCTTGAGGGGCCCTCCCTGCTGCTGCTGCTGCAGCTTTCTGAAAGCAGCAAAGACCCCGCGCAGCCGCTGTTGGCAGAGCAGCAAAAGGTCAGCTGCTACAGCAGCACACCAAATAAGTTGTTTACGTCTGCGCAGGCAAAGCAGCAAAAGCAACAAATTCCTTAAAAGCTTCTCGAGACTCTAACATATATAGCAGCAAGTAGGGGGCTAAGCAGCAGCAGCAGCAGCAGCAGAAGCCCTGGCTGGCCCTCAGTTTCCAAATGAGCTGCTAAGTGCTGCGCTGCACTTCGCCACCAGCAGCCTGCAGCAGCAACGCCCGTGGGCTGCTCCTGCTGCTGCTCAAAGAGCTGGGCGAAGCAGCTTTTCAGAAACTTAGTCTCATTCTGCTGCTGCTGCAGTGGCTCGGGGGGCCCCAGGGGGCCCCTGGGGGTCTTAGGGGTGCAGCAAAGAAAGCTTAAAGCCTCGACTCAAAAAGCCAATTTTGGGGCTGAGAGCTGCAGCACCTGAGTCCTGCATGCAGCCCCAAACCCTCCTAAACCCTCTTAAACCCTCCCAAACCCTCCTTAAACCCCCTTTTGTGCTGCAGCAAACGGGTGGCAGAAGCTGCAGCTCTCGCTTCTCCCGCTAAGACACTTTTGCGGGCTTTCGCTCCAGCCCTTGAAAGCTGCAGCAAGTGTGGCTTTCTGTTCAGCAGCTTTGGTTTTAATGCTGTTAGTTTCAGCTATGCAGCTTTTAATTTAGAGGCGCTGCATTAAATGGTATTAATTGCAGAAAGTTCGGCGGTTTAGAAGATAGTCAAAGTTCCGTGAAATGCTTATACTGGGGAAAGCTGGGATGCAGCAGCAGCAGCCCAAAGAACAGCAACTTTGCTGCACGCAGCACAGAAGGCGCTGGGGGTATTTTTGTGTTATATGCAGCGCATAAAGCCCCACAGCGTTTCCTGCGCTGCATGCAGCAAAGCTGTTTGCTCTACAGCTGCGTAGGCCAGGCTTAAGTGTTCATCAGCACTTTTGAAATTCAATTCAAAACAGAGGGCCTCCGGAATTTTCTGAAGACTGAGACGGAGGCCTACAGGAGCCGTTCAGCTGCAGAAAGCTCTGCGGGGGTGAGGGCTAGGGTTTGTGGACTTATTGGAAAAGTTACTTTTAAATTCAAGAAACCATTTGGTGCCTTAAGGGCACTTGTGGGGCCGCCCAAACGGCTCTTTTTATCTCAGAGTTGCTGCGAACAAACAAACTGCCCCGCCTTGGCCAGGAAATTGAATCCAGAAGGCTGCTTCCCGCTCTTGAGGCTGAGGCTCTTTTACTCAAAAGACCTTTTCCTAAACAATAAGAGCCTCGAGGTCCTTTTCGCGGAAAGAGTAGTTAGCTACTGAAACGGGCTGCCAGCTCTCGGAACACTCTGCAGTGGCTAAGGGGAATATTCCTTGATGTTTAAACGTAAGAAAGGCCGTGCGCCACTAGTGACATATTTTGGAGGCCAATGTGGGGGAGAAATCTCCTAAAGAAATCCTCTTGAGTCAAAAGATCCTGCTGGTACTAAAGCCTCCCTCAGTGGACTTTGCTGCATTGCTGGACTTCTGTGCGCCTCTAGAAAAACAGTGCGACGAGCCTCGAGGGTGTGCTTCGCCAGCTCTGATATTACGCGGATTGAGGGAGCCCGTGAGTATCATTTGTGGGGCTGCGTTTCTAAAGCTGCTGTCCTTTCTCGTGGTGTTTTTCCCTGTTATTTGACTCTTGGCTCTATCCTTTGCCCATCTTCTTCTCCTAGAAACCCTTTTAATTGTCCTAAATTGCACTTGTAGCGTTCCCAAGGACTTAAATGGGTCACTCAACTGCACAACTGGCTACTAACTGCTGGGGGGCCCCTCTGCCTCCCCCGCAAATTGATTGCGTCATTTTCCTATTGTCTGCATCTTCATTTTCCAATTAGAAAAGACTTTGTGGATTTGGACCCTGTGGCGACTGAGCACATCACTCCCTCACTGTGAGCCCAGAGTGGGAAGCTGGGCTTGTGAGGAGCATTACCCATTTCATCTACGAAAGAAACCGATTCTGTCAGTAAAGACTAGAGGTATTTGAAGCGGCTAGAGTGGAAGCAGAAGCCACGTCAAGGAAGCTACAGTTTGGGCTGATCTGCATGCAGATTGCCAGTCACATCATGTAAATGAGTGTAGCAGGAAAGTTCTTACTGCATGCATACAAGTTGGTGCATTGCAGGCTTTTAAAAAGCCATTAAGTACGGATCTGGAAGCTTGATAAGAGTAGCAACTGAGAACAAGATAGACACTTTGAACAAGAACCTGAGTCGACAGTTCACCACTAGCAGCCCGAGTTGCCCACCCGTGCAGAAAGAGCCGCATAGGGGTAGTGGGACTCCGCCAGCTGGACAACAGGCTTATCAGGAGTTACAAATAGCAAAACTGGCAAACAAATTGCAATATAGGATGCAGAAGACCCCCTGAGAGGTGCATGCAGTGAGGGATCTGGAAGCGTGCTCGGCTCTGCGCAGAGGGCAGGACAGGGGCGACTGCACGAGACCCTCTGCAGGGCCATACTGACTGAAACTGCACTGTAGAATGCAGCAACACTGCAGTGACATTGCACTGCTTAGTGTGGTCTGGTGCTTGCATGCAGTTGCTGCGATCTGTTCAATGCGGAGCAGAGCACACCCCCTGATCCGTGGCCACATGCATCTCTCAGAGAGTCTTCTGCATGCTTTATGAATTAATTGTTTGTTCGAGCAGCGGTGAGGCACACTGTAGGGTGTCGTCAGCAGAATCGCCCGCAATCTGGTCCGAATCGGCTTTCGATTCAAGACAGACCACAGTGCAGGCTGCAAGAGTGGAGAGACCGCGACGGTTCCGTCAATCCTGTTTCTCAGTGCTTTTTGAAAAGTAAATTAAAGCTCGGGAACTTCTTTGTAGGGCAGAAGGAGGGGAAGCAGAACAGCAGACGCTGAATTGCCTCGCTCACCAGACAACGGAAGTTGAACACCCCCGCTCGCCGATCCAAGCCGCGCAGCTGCTGCTGGTCTACGGGCAACTGCAGCAGCGGCTTGCGACAAATAACGAATAATTAAGAATTTAAAGCTTTCGAATAAGTCTAATAACTCGAAGATCTCCGCGAAAGTGGACCGCTCGTCTTCGTGCTGGCCGTTGCGTCGGTCAACCGCTGTGGAGAGGCCAGAGCGGCGGACAGGGCTTCCGGCGGACTTGTTGTCTGTCTGTCCCGCGGCATTTAGCGTATTTAGTGCAGAGTTTTGGATTCGTTTGAATATTATAATCTATTTAATCGGCTGCATGCGCAGCTGTAGCTCTCCGCCGATTTCGCCGCGAAGTCCCGAGCTTTCCGGTGTCTGTGGTTCCCGCCACTGCGTCCCACGAGACCCCCTCTGCACAGTTCCCGGCCCCGCGCGCAGTCTTTGCAATTTTTTTGCAAAGTCCAAATGCGTTTTTTGATTTTTCTTTTGTTGGCGGCGATCTCGAGGGGCCCCCAAGCAGCAGAGGCGGGTTGGCCTGGCAGCAGGCGCGCTGCAGCCGCCGACTCAGTCTTGGCTTCTTCAGACGCAGCCACTTTCACCCCCGAGGGCTCTTATTACTTAAGACAAGCATCTCCTTGGGAAGATGCTCCACTGTACAGCACTCCTGGGCCCGGGGGGGCGCAGTGGAGGGGGGAGTCGGGCGTAGGCTCTGCAGCAGCGGCAGCAGCAGCGGCAGCGCAAGCAGCAGCTACTGCAGCAGCTGCTGCAGCCCCCTACGTCCACGTCCACGCTGCAGCAGCAGGCGCTGCCCCGCAGCAGGTCCGCCCCTGGGGCTCGCTGCAGCGCCTGGCCCGGGCTCTGGGCCACCCCGCTGTGCTGCTGCGCGCAGCTTTGCTGCGGCACTTTTGCCTGGCTGTTGTGCAGCTGAGAAGCCCCTTTTTGGGCCTCCGAAGCAGCGGCGCTGCTGCGCACCGAGGCAGCAGCAGCAGCAGCAGCAGCGAGCAGCAAGGCAAAGAAATAGTGGGAGAAGCAGAAGTGGCGGCGCTGGCGGCGAAGCTCGCGGGCGTGGTGGGGTCCGCTGGACATACAGCCGAAGCGGGAAAGCTGTGGACGAAGCTGATGCTTCTGCAGTTCGAAAGACTTGTCAGTGAAAGTGAAAAGCTTCTTTTTGAAGTTGCAAGACAAGGCAATCCCGCGTTAATGGTGTTTGCACTTAGCCGGATTGTGCCTCCCGTGATGAAGGGTTTCTCTTACCTCGAAAGCTTTCCGAGTTCGGGAGTTTCGGGGGTCTTGGAGCCAGTTCGGGTTTCGCTGCTGCGGCGTGCCAGGGAGCTCGACTTGGCTCTCCTGGCAGCTCAAAATGACCCTTTTATTGTTCATAAATTCAGCAAAGATATAACTGAAGAGGAACTGCAAAGAGAAAGGGAACTGGCTGCGTTGGAGGGGGGCGCCTACGCGCCCGTGCAGCCGGTCTTTGCAGAAAGCTTCCCCGCGGGTGGGCGGGGCTTCAAGCAGCAGCCCCAGGCGCATTTGCCGGCACTCCTGCTGGTTTGTTTTCTTCTTTTTAGTATTTATTCATCATTTAAACCTCTAAAATCCAGGCGGAAGGCGCGGGCGGAGGCGCCGGAGGCGCAGGAGGGGTGGAACGACCTGGAGCCGGACGCAGGTGTACGTACACCCGGGGAAGCGCGCGCCGGCGGCGCGCCCGCCGCACCGCCGCCGCGTCCAGAGTGGCCGCGTCATTATCCCAAAAGTGCAGAGTCTGCTATTTATGAAAATGAAATGTTTGAAGAAAACTTAGGAGCTCCAGAAGAACCCCGAGGCGGGCTCTTCCCGCGCGAACACTTCCTCCCGGGGCTCCCCCCCAGCGCCTACGCCTACGCCCCACCCCCGTACTACACCCACAGGCAGCCTCCTACAGTTCCCTCAGCCCCTCCGATTCCCCCTGGGGGTTTCGTTGCAGATCTGAGGCCTCCGCCTCCGAGTTACTGGGACGTGGTGGGTTTGCCGGGCCCTGGCTCCAGCCCTCCCTGAGTCCGCAGTCTTTGGAGCGTTCGGGGAAGCGGCCGGCGCAGAAACCCGTTTTTAGGGTTTGCGGCGCGGCCCCTGCATGCAGCAGCCCATGCAGCAGCAGCCCGCCCCGCCCCCTGCATCCGGAATAATTCAAAGTCCCGTCCTGCGGCAGTTTGCAAAGGGCAGCAGCGGAGATGGCGGCGCACTTCCAATGAGACTGGCGAAGCAGAGACGCAGTTCGCGCCGCAACGCGGGGCG